CTTCTTTGATACTAATTTTTTCAGATTTTTTTTTTAGCTGTGGCTTATTACATTGTAGATCTTAGGGCTAATACAGCACTGAGGAAGGGTGTTAACTTCCTCTGTTGCCTACACAGAGTTTACATAGAAAGTACTATATGGTAGCTCTGAGGCAAAGCAGCATTACTGAGCAGAATTCCAGAGTTGCTTTTGACATAATAACTTAATTTGAAGACTTTACTTGGGGATAAACGTTAAAAACACAAATGTAAAATAAATAAACATATAGTTAAAAATTGTACATTCTCTGAAGGTGCTATAAAAATGTTTAATGGGGGAAACTGAATTTAGATGGTGGTGTTAGACATTTCAAAAGCATGGAGTTTGTAGCTACTGGACATGTTATTGACTCATGTACAAATACCATAGGTGATGTCTCTAGTCCTGGAAGGTCTAAACTCATCTGTCACTACTGTATGGTTACAGCAAAACATATGGTTTAGTGCGTGAGAAGAAAAGAAAACATGCCGTAATTCTTTCTGTGGGATAGTAAAGGCTCTTTGTTGTTGTTATGTGCCATTGAGTCATAGCGACCCCTCTTTGGGTTTCCAAGATAGTGTGGCTACAGAAGTAGATTGCCCAATCTTCTTTCTGAGGAGTGGCTGGTGGGTTTGAACCACCAACCTTCTGGTTAGCAGTCAAGTGCCTTAGGTATTACACTACCAGATCTCCTAAAGGCACTTTAGGAGTGGTGGTATTAAAGTGCCATTGTTTTGTATGTCTTTATGCCTGCTATAAACATATACATATTATAGAGAATGGAAATAGAGTAAATATAAGAGAAATTGATTCATTTGTTTAATTAAATTATATCTGTAATGGTTTTAGCTGAGACTTGAGGTTTTGTTGCTAAAGTAGATGGTACAGAACAAAGACATGTACTTTGACATTAGAAAATTGACATTTATGTGAGCAGAGTGAAAATTTATGTTCTTAAATCATGGTATTATAATTGCTTTAAAACTTTAGTCATTTAAAATGCTTTTTGAAATTTTTTTAACTATCAAAGAATTTTGCTACTATTCTCCAAAATTGAAAATGTGATTTAAGACTGTTGACATCATTGGAATTGTTTTAAATTACCTTGGACATCAATGACAAGCTAATAATAGGTTTAAAATGTTAATATAATATATTGGAAAATATTTTATATAGTTCAGAATTAAAATCTTCTTTTTTTCCCCCCTACTATTTAAAACATCTTACAGGTTGCTTTTACAAAAACTTTTGTTCAACATTATGCTTTCATTATGAAAACACTGAAGAAAAGTCACGAATCTGATACTATGTCTAACAGAATTGTGCATATTAGCGTTCAGTTATTCAGCAATGAGGAGCTAGCCAGACAGGTAACAGAAGAATGTCAGCTGCTGGATATTATGGTCACTGTGTTATTATACATGATGGAAAGTTGCCTTATTAAAAGTGAGCTACAAGGTAAACTCAGAATTATTTTCACTAGTTCTATTATTAATATACTTAGTATTACTAGCCTTAAAAACCCCTTACATGCTTAAATTTTTTTAAATACTAAAAAGTGATATATATTTGTTAAAGAAATTTTAGAAAATTTTCAGCAGTTTAAAAAATTTAAAATTGCCTAAATTTTGTCATTCACAGATAACTGCTGTTAACATTTTGGGTTTTTTTTTTTTTTTTTTTATCTTTTTTGTGTAAGTATTAGTGTGTTTATAGATACAAACACATTTTTTTAAAAAATTAGCTAAAGTGTTACTATAGTGTACATGTCAAGTACATATATTTTTTTTAATGATTGCTAGTTTTAATGTCATATAATAGTACCATAATTTTTTTAACCATTTCCTCATTAGAAAGGTTCCTGTTTTTTTTTTTTTAAATCATAAATTTGTTACTTTCATCTTTAGACATTTTTATATGTTTGTAATTTTCAAAATTGGAATAAATTTTGAGTTACTTGTGTTTCCCTGGGATCTTGGATTTTCTTCTTTTGTGTCCACTATGTAATTATTACTCCTAATCTACCATAATATTTCCATTTTCATTTCTCTGTGGTCTTTATTTTAACTTTACCTCCCTTTAATAATTTGTGTTATTTGAGTATTTGCTATGTACTAGATAACACCAAAAACCAAACTCACTGCCATTGAGTCAAATCCAATCGACCTCATAAAGACCCCTCCTTGGGTTTCTGAGGCAGTATCAGTATGGAAGTAGATTACCCAGGCTTCCTTCTGAGGAGTGGCTGGTGGATACTGTGTTAAATAATTCTTCATATGTTATCTCAAATGTTATCATTATCATCTCCACTTTAAAGATGAATAAGTTGAGGCTGAGAGAGATTAAGTCATTTGTTTGAAATTATATGGCTAGTAAATGATAGAGCCAGGAAAGACTTCATGTCTTGTGGTGTTAGAACCTTTGTTCCTAATCATAAAACAACCAAGCCCATATGATTGGTACTGTCTTCACTTATTGGCACCTTCAGCTAAACTTTAAAACAATAAATGATAATTCAAATGAAATATTAGGACTCCCCCCCATTGTTATTTGGGTGAAAGTTTACATAGCAAATTTGTTTTCCATTCAACAGTTCATACACATTTTGTTTCGTGACATTTATTGCACTTCCCATCGTGTAAGACCTCTCTTCCCACTTCCTCCCTTTGGTTACCTTTTCCCTATGTCCTATGCATTACTGCCCTCTGAGCTATCTCTCTATGCAAATACTGTCCTTCTGATCTCCCCTGGTTGATTTTGCTAAGGAGTGTACCTAGCTGGTTCACCTTGTATGCCTGTCTATTGTTTGGCTGGAGGCCATGGAAGTGAGTTCAATTCTAGTCCTGAACAGTTACTAGGAATCACCACTGTGTTAGACAAGTAAGCCTGATCTTTTTTATGATTTTGAGTTTTGTTCTACATTTTTCTCCCACATTATCCAGGATCTCTCATTTTGATCCCTTTCCTAGTAGTTGGCAGTGGTAGCTGGGTACTCTCTAGCTCTTATTATCTCAGGGTCATATAGGCTAAGGGTCACATGGTCTACTAGTCCCTTGGACTGATTGTTTCTATGAATCTTTGATTTTCTTTATTCTTTGCTCTGGACAGGGTGAGACAAATTTTGGCATCTTAGATGGTTGTTTGTAGTCACTACTCACCAAAGTAGAATGCAAAACAGTGTTTCTGTGTTGTATGTCATGCCAGTTGAGCTTGATATTCCCTGTGACCATGGTCCAGGCCCACAGGCCCAGTGACTCATTCCTTCATGTGTTTGGCTGTGGTAAAGAAGTTATCATAACTTTGCCCCTTGTTAGCTCTAGTTTACATATGGACATTATTTATTTATTTATTTATTTATTTATTTATTGCCTCTTTGATCAGGTATTTATTCAAAATAAGCTGTCCCAAATGATTTAACTTGTATGGAATAAATGAATTATTGAAGAGTTTATGCTGCAGGCTTCTTTTCCTCTGTGGTAGGTTTCTTTTCTGTTGGCTTCTTCTTCTCAGGTGCTGGTTCTTGGTGGCTGCAGCCTTCTTCCCCACCACAGGCGTCTTAGGTTTCTTCACATCAACAGCTTTCTTTCCTTCTTTCTTCCCTACCACAAGCTTCTTGCCTGGAACCCCTTTCTTATCTGCTTTGGCCTCTAGTGCTGCTGCCGCCACCTTAGCCACCCTGAGTTTGTGATTCCTGGCCTGGCGAAGAATGGTGTTTCGGTGCATGGTCTTTGCATATGGGTTCAACTTCAACATGATTCTCAGATTTTTCAGTGGGTTCTTCTTCAGGACTCTGCGATGAATCTTCTTAAGTGGTGCTCGGAGGGCTCTTTGGATTTCAGGGCTTTTCAAAATTCTCCTAAAGTCTGTATTGATCATCTTGTGCATGGGCAGGTTATAGTTGCTCTTCAGGGAGGCAGCTTTTCGCCAAGTGTCATACAGCTCGTCTAACTTGCGAAAAGCACTTTTAGTCCAAATGCAGAAACTCCCTACATGGAGCAAGTTTCAAAATGTTCAGTTTGCTTACGTTAAACAGCGTAATTCCTGGGATGTTTCTGAAAGTCTTGATGATACCAATGTCCTCTTTATAGATAATGCATGGTCCTCTGTGCTGGATACGTCGTCGGTTTCTCATTTTGCCCTTGCCAGCTCTTATTCGCTGAGACACATAGACCTTTTTGATATCATTCCAGGCCCTAAGTTTCTTAAGAAGCAAAACAGCCTCCTTGGTCTTCTTATAGCCTTCAATTTTATCTTCGACCACCAAAGGAAGTTCAGGAACTTCCTCAATACGATGACCTTTAGACATGACCAGTGCAGGTAAGGCTGAGGCAGCCAGGGCAGAGCAGATGGCATAGCGCTTCTGAGTTGTTTTCACTCTACAGTGCCAGCAGCGCCAGGTTTTGGTTGGTGCAAACATGTGGCCTCCACGACACATATTTCCAAAAGCACCTTGGCCAGAGCGGTGAGTCCCACCACCTCGAACTCTGGGAATTCGAGCCACAGCTGTGCCAGGACCCCAAGACTCAGCATTGGTCTGATGACCTGCTAATTCACTAACAGCATAGGGCTGCCTGTTGTTTTTGCGCAAGTTGGTGTGAACAAAGTTTACGCTATCCGGTCGAATGGGAGCCTTGAATACTGCAGGCAAGGTAACATTTTTGCCAGATGATTCTCCCTTCTTGGAGTGCACTGATATCAGTGGACGAGCACACGCCATAGCGGGGAGAGAAGACCACGCTCCTCTCAGCCCAATGGCTCCCACAGGAAAAGGCTATATGGACATTCTTACAGTACCTACAAATATGGATGTAGAAGTATTGTCTACTTAACTTACATATGGTCATGGATATATTCCCTCTTGCTTAGCCATACCTGATCATTTAGTCTATCTACCTATGTATCCACACATAGAAATATATTTATTATTACTGATAATGCAGTATTATGTATGTAAAAGTGTTTACCTTTGTTGTCTGTACCTGTTTGTGTACCTTTCCTTGTCTTCCTTTTCCTTAGTGTTAATTATGTTGGTTACTCACTTTTGGTATATTGCCTTTCCCTTTACCCAAATTAACACTTGTCTCTTACCTATCCAGAAATTTTCCCATCCTTCCCTTTCCATTCCTGGTAACCAGCAAAGAAAGTTTCCTTCCATGTGTAAACTTTTCCTTGGCTTTTTGCAATAGTGATCTCGTATAATATTTGTCCTTCTGTGATCGACTTATTTCATATAGCATAATGTCCTCCAGGTTCATCCATGTTATGTTTCATGGATTCTTTATTATTATTATTTTTAAAATTTATTATTTAAATTTTTTTTGTGCAGTATACCCTCCCCTCCTACTCCTGGTAAACAACAAAGAGTGTTTCCCTCCATATATAAACCTTTCCTTAACTTCTTACAATAATGAACTAATACAATATTTGTCCTTCTGTGATTGGCTTATTTCATTTAGCATAGTGTCCTCCAAGTTCATCCATGTCATGTGGTGTTTTGCAGAGTCTACTTTATTCTTTAGTGTTGCGTAGTATTCCATTCTGTGTATGTACCATAGTTTGATTATTCATTCTTCTGTTGATGGGCACCTAGGTTGTTTCCATCTTTTTGCTATTGTAAATAGTGCTGCAATGCATATGGGTGTGCATAGTCTGTTCTTGTCCTCGCTCTCACTTCTTTAGCATATATACCCAGTAATGGGATTGCTGGATCAAATGGTATTTCTAATTCCAACTTTTTAAGGAATCGCCATACTGCTTTCCACAGTGGTTGTATCATTTGACAGTCCTACCAGCAGTGTATGAGAGTTCCAATGTCTCTACATCCTTGCCAGCCTTTGTTATTTTCTGTCTTGTTGAAATTTGCTATTAGTGCTAGGGCAAAATGGTATCTCATTGTTGTTTTGATTTGCATCTCTCTAATGGGTAATGATCGTGAACTTTTCTTCATGTGTTTGTTGGCCACCTGAAAATCCTCTTTGGTGAAGTGTCTATTCATGTCTTCTGCCCGTTTTGTTTGTTTATTTATTTATTTATATTGTGATTTGGGTGAAGATTCACAAAGCAAATTCACTTTCCATACAGCACTTCACATATACTTTGTCTCATGACGTTGACCACAGTTTACCACAATGCAACAGCTCCCCTCCCACTTCCTCCCCATAGCTACCGCTTCCCCATGTCCATCCCTCTATGGACTACTGCCCCTTGAGCTATCTGCCTGTACATAAGCAGCCCTTCTTTCTCCCATGATTGTTCTCTCCAAGGAGAGATTCTACTTGAGATAAATGTTCAACTTATATGCCTGTCTTTTGTTTGGCTGGAAACCACAGGTGTGGGTTCAATTCCAGACCTGGAGGGCAGTTAGGGGCCATAGTCTCAGTGGTTCCACCAGGCTCTATTGGACCAGCAAACCTGGTCCCCCCCGCCCCACTTTTTTTTTCCCTCCAAATAATTTTGAG